TTCATGTAGGCTTATAATAATGAACGGCTCCCTTTTTTTTAAGATTTCCCCTCTTTTTGATTTTGAATTTCCTATCTCTGACTGTTGATTTTTCCCGTTTTTCCTTCTTCTTCTTCTTCGATTCTGTAACATGATATCCATTATCACCATTATCGCTTTTTTTTATTTCTTTCTCTCTTCATCCCCCTTTCCTCCTAACTCTCCTTCGCCTTCGCTTCGTCGCTCCTTCGCGATTCACTTCTTGCAAATCGGTTCAAGAAGCTTACTTTCCTTTTGAGAATCGATCCCGTGTCTTCCACGAGCCTTTTCTCTCAACGTGTGGCAGTGCCTTCTTCGGGTCGATGTTAACCTCTCTTTCATTGTTATTTACTGGAGCATTATCTAAAACGCATATCTGATAAATCAAGCATAAATACCATCTATTTTCACGTTGGGAGCGCGCGTTTTCGAAAGAATGCATGGAGTCAAGTAAAACCCGATTATAATCCATGAGTTATGCACTAATTGGTAACTCCCCTCGCCCCTAACCGAGGCTCCGCCCACCCTCTCCCCTCATTTCCAAAGTCGCGCGCTGATTGGTCGAGTTAAGGTCCGCCCCTTGTAACATATTTACCATGCCAGAATCTTCAGATTTCACGTCTCTTATTTGTTTCCGTACTTTATGTATAAAATAACAATAATAACGATTCTAAAACTCCACAGAGTTCCTTCACAACAAATTATAAATGGTCCAAACGACGGACAAAAATCAGAAAGCACAAGCAAAATGCGAAAAATCAAATCCGAAACTGGCTACTCCGCGGGTGCTCAGAAAGCCTTGATGAGTTTTGAAGTTGGTCGCGTGGGGCTAATGGAGCTGTAGCATCTGGGAAAGAGATAGAGGGAAGCAAGTGACAGAACCAATTACAGTACAAATAGTCTCGACCGCAGAGTCCCCAGCCTATCCCCACCTCTCGCCGGAGCAAGCGTACGTCCCTCGTCCTCCACACACTCTCTCGCGGTCACTGAGGGGAAACACGTAGCGCTTTGAGAGGGCCTTTCCAAGAGTGAGTGAGAACGAAGGAGAGAGAAGAGGAAGGGTCGACATCACACGTGCTCTTGTGGTTCTCCTTGTCCCCGTATACCTCTCGTGTCTCGACCTGGAGTAGTGTGGGAATTTCAGTTAACTATTTTCGATAGCCTTTTCGTCGACGGTGTGGAGATTTATGCATATACTATTTTCCGCTAACGAGGACACAGATTCGCTCGTCCGAGATTCCCCTCACTGGCTGGCGGCGGCGGCCATGACTTGACAAGACGGTGCAAGAAAAGAAACTTTTCTTCTGAACGAATTTTTTAGTGGTCGTCCAGCACTGGATTTGAATTCTGTCTTGGTTCTTTTTGAAACGAACGGCCCTTTTTCTTATTTTTGTTAGAATTATTATCATTTGGTAAGGAGAGACTCTTACTAGCATGGAGACTCTGGTCAAGATGGAGAAGCCCGGATCTCCCGACAGCCAGACGCAGACGACAGCCTCCGTGACGCCGTTCTCCATCACCGACATCCTGACGCGCATGGAGAACCGCTCCCCGACGGACCTGCACCGCTCCACGCCCCCGACCCACCACCGCGCCGCCCTCGCCGACCTGCGCCACTCGCCGAGCCTGCAGGGGTTCCGCCCCGTGTCCGTGCTCAAGTACAACGCCTCCTCGCCCATGGACCTCTCCAAGGACTCCGTCATCCACCCCGAAGTCAGCTCCTCCGTCGAGCCTTCGCCCGGAGGCGGCGGAGGGAGCACGGCGTCCTCGCTGTCCCGCGGGGCGCCCGAGGCGGACGACGCCAGGGACATCATCTCCTCGCCCGAAGGATTCAGCCGCCTCCTGCAGGGCGCCGGCGGGGGGCGGAGGAGCCGGTCGACGTCCCCGTGCTCGGAGATGAGCATGGAGGAGGTCGACATGGACAACAGCGACCGAGAGGACACCTCGCACTCGACCGACCTCTCCACCTCCGCCGGCCAGGACGCGGCCTCCAGCGAGGACAAAGGTACGCTGTGGCTCTGAGTGCATGGCGGCGGATGTTGCATGGGCTGTGATCTGTGAATATCATTAACGGAAGTTGGTTAATATTCATTCGCATAAGATTTTTTTGGATAAAATATTCTTGAGATTTGACGAAATCGGTGAAGTAGGAGTAAAATTAGGAAAGTAATAGTAATAAATCTAATAATACTCGCGTCAACAGTGATAGTTCTGACAATAACGACTGTCAAAGCGATAATGATTGCGCTTACGAGTATTTCTCTAATTACTGTCATTCTTCCTTTTATCATTATCACTATCTTTACTGTTTTGATCGTTCTCACCCTTCAGATCGTGAGGTTTCCGGTTATCCACATTAATCTCGCTTGTGTTATGATGGTACTTGATAAATCCATTTTTGGTTGTTATTATTGTTATTATAGACCTCATCAAAAAAAAGTTATCTGTGTTTTTGTATTATGAATATTGATCTTATCATACCGGCTTATTCTTAGTGATCCTAATAATGCCTATCAAGCAATGATGACAAAAATAGTATGCTGGGAAATTGTTGGGTCATTATCTCGATTTTTTATCGATTATATTCTCATGTATTTGTCATTGTTGTTGTCATTGTTGTTACCATATTTAATGTCTAACATTATTGCTGTCATTATGGTTGTTAATATCATTATTATTATCATTATCATTATTATTATTTAATTGATATTATTATTAATTATTATTATTATTATTATTAATATCATCATCATCATCATCATCATCATCATCATCATCATCATCATCATCATCATCATCATTATCATTATCATTATCATTATCATTATCATTATCATTATCATCATCATCATCATCATCATCATTATCATTATTATTATTACTATTATTGTCATTATTATCATTATTATTATCATTATCATTATTATTATTGACATCATTGTCATAACTATCATCATTGATGCTGTTATTATTACTATTACCATTATTATTATTATTGCTATCATTTTTTTTATTACTGTCACTATTATTATCACCATATTTATTATTATTGCTATTATTATTATTATCATTATTATTATTATTATCATTATTATTATTATTATTATTATTATTAATGTTATTATCATTATCATTATCATTATTATTATCATTAGTAGTAGAAGAGGTAATAGTAGTAGTATCATTATTATTGTTATCATTATTATTACCATTATTAATTATCATCATATATTATCATCATTATCGTCATTATTATTATATCATTATTATTATTATTATTATTATTATTATTATTATTATCATTATTATTATTATTATTATTATTATTATTATTATTATTATTAATATTATTATTAATATCATCATCATCATCATCATCATTATTATTGGTATTATTATCATTATTATTACTATTATTATTATTATTATTATTATTATTATTATTATTATTATTATTATTATTATTATTATTATTATTATTATTATTATCATTATTATTATTATTACCATTAGCATCATTGTTATTATCACTATCATCATCACCATAGCTATTCCTGTTATTATTCTTATCATCATGATCTTAATATTAGTTATTGTTATCATTATTCATACTATTGATTTTATCATTATCATCATCATTATTGCTGTTCTTTGTTGCTGTTATTGTTATTATCACTGTCATTATTATTATTATTATTATTATTATTATTATTATTATTATCATAATTATTATTATTGCTATTATTATTAGTTTTATTATTGTTATTGCTATTACATTATTATTATTATTATTATTATTATATTTATTATTAGTATTATTACTATTGTTATTATTTGCGTTATTGTTTTTGTTATTATCATTATCATTACTACAATTACTGTTATCAATATTATTATCATAATCATTGCTAGTGTTATCATTATTGTTTTTATCACTATGATAAAGATAATGATTATCATAACTATCACTATTATCAACATTATCATTATTGTTGTTCTTCTTGAAGCTATTGTTATTATCATCATTATTTTTAGTAGTTGTGTTATCATGTTTTATCATTACTATTATCATCATAATTATTATTATCATTAACATTATTATTATCCTTATTGTTGTTGTCATTATCATCATCAATATTATCATTTTTATAGTCATCAGTATCATAAGTATTATTATTATCGTTATCATGATGTTGATTATCATTATCATTATTGTCATTATCGCTATAATTTTTGTCACAATCATTATCATTATCATTGTTATTATCATTATCATCTTTAGTAGTGGTAGTAGCAGTAGATGTAATATCAATATTTTCACTATAACCATTATTTCCAGAATCACTATTATTATTTCTATATTTTATTATCATCATCATCATGAGTATCATCATCATCATCATCATCATAAGCATCATCACCGCCATTGCTATTAATGTTGCTGTTTTATCATTGTTATTAATTTCGTTAAATTATTTTTGTTATCATTACCGCTAGCTTCATTATTTCTGCGGTATTTATATTACTGGCAAATATAACGATCGTGAGAATATTCATGGCTATAATTAGTTATCTTTATCTCGCTTTATCGGTCTATTATCCTTATGATTATAGTCATTATCATCATCATTTCAGCATGATCGGCTGGGGAATTATTATTCATCATCTATTATGCTTATTTTTATTATTATTTTGAATATTTTCCTATCTTGGATGTGAAATGATGCTATACATTCTTCATCGGTATTTCCCTCTTTTATGGGAATTGCAATCACCAAAGTTTGCAGGATTATTGTGTCGGTGTCTCGGGGCTTGCAATAAGGTTTATGCACTGCACCTCCCCTCCCTCCCCCTCCCCTCCCTCCCCTCACTTCCCCCCCCCTCCCCCCCTCCCCTTCCCCTCCTTCCTTCCCTTCCCTTCTCCTTCCCATCCCTTCCCTTCCTTCCCTTCCCTTCTCCTTCCTTCCTTCCTTCCCTTTCCT